TGACGTAACAATCAATACCTGCTCCCAAGAGAAGATAACTCTGCAATACGCAAAGACGGAATACACGTCTTCGAACAATATCGTTTCCTGGTATTGAGGTGTTTACTTTTGCAATTAGATATATTAGTGCATACGCGTTATATAAAAGAAAGAATAGTTTTGCATTGTATTAAATACAGAAAAGTTAAAGGATTAAAAGTCAAAGGTAAGACAAAGAGTTGTTTCTTGTTGTATATAATTCAGCTGAATCAAAGGGTAAATCGCTATACGTAAGACGAAAGTGCATATTGTGATGTATATTACACAATAAAATTCAAGAATAAGACAAAGGCAATGCTGTGTTGAAAACAATATAGTAGAATGATCTAAATGATTAAAAGTCATAGATAAGACAGTCGGTATATTTTGTGTTGTATATTACAAAAAAAGGATTTCAAGGGCAAAACACTTTTGGTGGTTTTGTACAGTAGAGTAATCATGTTAAAGCCAAGGATAAGACAAAGGATCTATTATGTGTTTTGTATCTTATACAGCATAATCTAAGAGAGAGACTAATAGTTCACGGGTTTCTTGTTGCATATACTATAGAAATCTTTGGTATTTTGTATGTTAGCTGTCTCTTTCGCAACAACGTTATAACACACAGATTAAAACTCCCGTACAAGACGATTCATTATGAACATATTAGAACCACAGAGGCAGATATGCGAACACGAGAAAACCTTTATCGCGGAGGCAAACGAACTCTTTAGTTAATGGCTCGAACCTACCATTCACAGCAAACGATTTTATCTTGCATACTAAAACATAAGAACTCTTGTCTACAATTATTATTTCCGCAACAAAGATAAAGAGCGGAAATGGAATCATCGGTTTCTCTGTTCTAAATTCATAGGCCAAATAAAAATATCTTTAAGAAAGCCATACCGGGGAACTATCTATGCTGAAAAAGTCTGACGTTCACCGTGTATACTTGAATGTTGCTGAAATGACTTGGTTGGACAAACACTAGGACCACTAAGAACCAGGATAAAGAACACCTGACATGACTTGGTTGGACAAACACTAGGACCACTAAGAACCAGGATAAAGAACACCTGACATGACTTGGTTGGACAAACACTAGGACCACTAAGAACCAGGATAAAGAACACCTGACATGACTTGGTTGGACAAACACTAGGACCACTAAGAACCAGGATAAAGAACACCTGACATGACTTGGTTGGACAAACACTAGGACCACTAAGAACCAGGATAAAGAACACCTGACATGACTTGGTTGGACAAACACTAGGACCACTAAGAACCAGGATAAAGAACACCTGACATGACTTGGTTGGACAAACACTAGGACCACTAAGAACCAGGATAAAGAACACCTGACATGACTTGGTTGGACAAACACTAGGACCACTAAGAACCAGGATAAAGAACACCTGACATGACTTGGCATCTGTCACTCATGAAGACGTTAACAACATGGGAAATACTAAAATAACTGAATAATACTGAAAGGAAAAAGAAACGCAATCGCAAAAATAATGAATTATGAATTAATCGACCCCAGTGACTACGTGTACTTGCCCCCAGAAGAATCACCATCAGGCACTGGAAGACGGATTTCGTTTACTGACGAATCCTTATCCGCTCGTTTCCGTGCCGCTGACAATCAAGAAATCTATCGGCAATTTGGCACACACAGATGCGCGAATTATCGAGAAGGGGCGATATGATGGAGGACTATTATGGTGTTTGGAGATATTTACCATGGTTTGATATTACCTTTGGTTGTGTGTAAACAGAAACTGACTGCTACAGAAACTAGATCCTACAAGCCCAAGTTGTCATCATCAAATTTCAACGCAACGTTTTGACAGGACAATGTTCGTCCATATGTTGCGTTGATCAGTGAGCATTTCCTAGCAGCAAACAATACACAGCAACTGATCTGGCCGCTTTAAAGTCGTATTATGGCCACAGGAGAGCACACCTCTGGGCCAAATTTGACAGAAACGTTCGCTTTTGCACTAAAAGACGTCGCCTATCAATTGGTCACACTGATCCAGGAACGGAAAAACATTTTGATGTGACGATTCAACACAATGATGAGTTCAATGCATCAAAGGATAAGGAAAGTCATTGCTGTGCGGTAAAGGCAAACTCAGTACTGATTCATCGACTGCTTTCACTGGATGGGGATGGTAAAAGTTTAAAGTCCACATTGTAATTATTCAGCTCAGCTAAAATATGTCAAATTACCATTACATAAATTCTTTCAACAAAGACCATAGACAAGACATTTTAAAAACCACATTTCAGTTATTATGACAGAAAGGTTCTTATGGCGATTCTTTTTCCTTACAGTATATTGCAATATCAATTGCAAGATTAACGAGACGACTAAGACGTCACCCAAAAGGGTTAAAGCTGCAACATGGAATTCATTCAGTATACAACTATTCCCAGTGAACTAGAAAACTGACCAGAAGCAAGGTATGACTGTACTTGTCATATTTACATTTTATGACTTGATTTTAGTTTGGTTCTTCTGTGTTTATTTTCCCATTAACAGTTAAGTCATTTAAGGACGTGCCTCCATGTGTGTAATGTATGGGTGCTGAAGGTATATTAGTGTGATTTTGTACATGTAATGCATCATTATTACATAAGGGGTCAAAGCATTAAACTGTCTTTGAATTTCAAGAAAGAAAAAAATCTTGTTTATTTTATGTATATCATAAATCGTGTTGTAAAGTTTTGTTACATATATACATTGCATATGCTAAAGATTACATAGTAATAAAGTGTGCGTACCGCAGCATCAACAAATTAGACAAAATCTGAAAGTCGGGCAAAATACGACAACGAGACTCGAGGAAACACTAATACAACGGGAAAGATAACAACAATCTTGACAAAAAGTCGGCTGGAAAACCTTGTGCTCTGAAGGGTAAGTAGTTCTGCACCACATGTGGTATCTGTCAATACGAAATGTATAGCGTTCACCAATGTGTGGTAACACACGAAATTGTTTGTGATGGCGGAGGACAAAAAGCAGAGATAATCAGGAGATGATATTATTAAGGTACATATACTTGTAAATTTACAACTCCTAGTGTGCAAATAAACGAATTTCGTTTGATATTATATAAAGAACTCTGCAAAGCTTTACATGTACATAGGTATGTTATCTTGTAGGTGGATTTTTTTCTGGAACGATTTCCATGAAAAACTACTTTATAATTATCTGTTGTAACCAAACCTTGTGTAATATTTTTACCCTTTCAGCCCTATGTAACTTAAGTAGACTCCATCATGCATTTATCTGGACGAGTCCATAATGGTCTACAGTGGTGAATGGGTTAAAAACGGTTTTATAGGCACATTTCCCATTTTTCAGTATTTCTATTTACAGTTTTGAACTTTGGAGATATGGAATTTAATTTATTTTCAATCTGATTCATAAATGGATGTAATAGCCACATGGTGCTTAATTTGGTTTTCTTAGCTGACACAATATTTTATTTTAAACTGTGCATCCATACTTCACACTTCTAGTGATTACTATACAGATCTATGTGTAGATTTTGAGTTAGATTGTATAATTAAACGTCTCTTCAAAGCTTGACATGTATACAGACAAAGCATTGGAAAATATATCAATTAATTGTATCAATCTACTCCTCTGCAACGATTGACATGTATACCGACAAAGCATTGAAGAATATATCAATTGATTGTATCAATCTAGTATTCGTTAAAGCTTGACATGTATACAGACAAAGCATGGAAGAGTATATCCATTAATTATATCAATCTAGTCCTCTTCAAAGCTTGACATGTATACAGACAAAGCATTGAGGAGTATATCAATTATATTAATCTAGTACCCTTCAAAGCTTGACAGGTAT